GACTCAAGATTATGCAAACCATTACTTGAACTAACAATCCCATGTTTTGAGGCTTTTTCAGGGATTTGTTGTTCAGATGAAGGTGGATTGACAAAGGCAAAATCCTTCAAGACATCATTTGAACTGACAGTCTCAAGCCGTCCCGAATCGACCACTTTATCTGAACTGGCTACCGTCACTGCATGGATTTGTTCTTCAGATGAAGGTGGGCTTATAGAAACAACTTTATGCAAACCATTACTTGAACTGACACTCTCGTGCAATCCTGTTGGAGTCGTCACTTTTTTAATGGGACCACTACATGCTACAGCTTCATCAGAATTCCTTTCTGGAGTTCCAGACAGTCCTATCACTCCCTTTGTCATGCTCGGCACAATCTTGTCAAGATCATGCTCTCTTAGCGAGGCAAAATCATCCAGATCTTTGTTAACTCTAATTTGTTCACTAGTCTGTGAGCATTCCAACTCAGGCTCAGGTTTATTTGAAGATGATCTATTTGGCAATTTGAGCCGTGCCCAGGATCCCACTTTCTCTAACAATTGTTTCTGCTTATCCATCAACTTATACAATGCTTCCTGCTGCAGTGCCTCAAGACGCTCAAGATCTATGTCCACACGTTGTTGATGTTCTTCAATTTCCTTTTCCAACTTCTTGAGCTTGTCTGATCTCATTGAAGTATTAATCTGGAAACAAGATTGAATAACGGCCAACTCTGTTTTGTGCTCTCTTTCTAGACACCCCTTTTCTTCCTCGTAATTTTTCAAAAACTCAATTTTCTCTTTTTTATGCTTCTCGGTAAGTTTTGTCATCTTCTTCTTGAACTTTTTACGAATTCCTTTGATACTTTTTGAGACATCTTTGTGTGCTACATATTCTGGATTCACAGTCAAGTCTTTGACCTCTGATTGGACCTTCTGCAAGTTAGAAGTCGTTGATTGTGTACCCTTCGCATTTAAATGGTCCTGAGCACTTTTACCTGATAACTTAGCGAACTTTCGAGACTCTGCATCCTTAAAAGTCCCTGTATGTAGTAAAAAGGTTGTCTTCAAACACTGCAGCATTGAATAAAAAGAGTATGCCTCGTCCTTTGTGCAAGTAAAGTTAAGGTGCTGCTTTGCAAGCAAAAGTGATTCTTTGTGGTTGACTTTTTGCTTGAGAAATGAAGCTGCAGCCCAACACTGGATTTATAGATATCAGTAAGTCAGTTAAGAAAAGAAAAAAAATAGTTAAAGTGGCATTTTGAACACAAACATGCATGCAGAAGCCAAAGACAATAAAAAATTAAGGGTTGAGCGTTTACCATGCAGATGGAACCAATTTTGAAACAAAACTATAGACATGATGGATTTTGATGCTATCATTTATCACAGTTATTTTGAGCCAAAATCAAAGCACTGCTATTTTCTCTTCAGTGAAAATATATCAGAGTAAAAGGAGACCAGGAAGACAAAGCAAAATCCAACCATACAGGATCTTGCAAGACCATATCAGTAAAAATCATTCAATACCAGAATGAAATATGAGTGTTGCAGCCAAGTAACATAAAAGAAAGCATGCATCTAAGAATTTTCCAGTTCAGCATGCCAATAACAAAAAGAATTGCACTTTTCTTAAGAGCACCAAAAAAAAAAGGCCGAAAGACTGAAACACAAGTGCATGAAAGATGAAGACAATTCTAACCAGAGATATCTGAAATGCCTGCAGTATTGTTGCTGGTTTTGTATCTACTCTGTGATTACTCATGACATATTCAAGAAGCATTCTGACCGTATCCTTCAGATCTTCCTGCATTTTACTGAGAAGTTAATGGAACAGAAAACTGTGTTTTACTGAGAAGTTAATGGAATATTGAGTAAAGAAAGCCACACACAAGAACACAAATGGAAAGTAAATGTCAGAATAGAGAAAATCAATTTCATACAGAGAGTTGTAGGATTTCACATAATTTTGACATCCGTGGCTTCAAAAGCAGATGGAGACTCTTCTGGCCATCACACAATTTTCTTCTCTCCTCAGATTCAAACAGGTTACTCTCCGGTTTTTCTAATCCATTTTTATCTACATTATGAGAAGTAGAGGCACAATTTTCATCAGTTACTGTATTTTCACAACCAGTTGTCCTGGTAGAAGAATCAGGCACAATATCTGCTGGAGTTACAGAAGCTCCTGCAATATTAGAGATGCTTTCAGAAGCAAAAAGTGGTAACTCAGAAATCGACAACCTAACCCTAACATTCCACTAAGCAATAACTCTTGGAAAAATAAATACCATGAAAAAATGAAATTACTTTACAGCATCAGCCATTTACCTTTCTTACATCCAGGACTTGATTTCCCCTCTGATCCCGGTTTTAGATGGGGTGAATCATCATTTCTATTTACAACCGTCCTGCGCTTTTTCACAACTTTACCACTTTCAACTTCCCATATCGCTGACAACACATCAAGCTGTTGTTCCCCTTTCCGTTTCCCCTGAGACAAACCGGAACAAGATGTCCACTGTTTGTACTCTCCCTCCACCACCTTTTTCTGAAACCTAAGGTGTTGCTCTTCATCCTTAGGCTGACTTTCCCGCTCACTGCTACGCAACACCTTCAACAACTAACAAAAGTTTCATAATGAAATCAATAAAAAAAAAAAAAAATTTAAGTACAACAAACACGAAAAAGGCCGGTAAGCAAATTCCATCCCTTCAACTACACACAAACAGACTACCACAAAACTAAAGCCGGTAAGCGAATTTTGTCCCTTCAACTACACACCAACAGCCTATCACAAAACTAAACTAATTCAATGGTTGATGAAAATCATTTGGGTTAATCTAAAAGCAGACAAAATCACAACTTAGCGCATGATAATACCTTTTCACAATCGCCTTTGCTTTCATTTACTGCAAAACAACCACAAATTACAACAAAGACAGATACATTATTATAAGAAAATCACAATTAGGGCCAAAACTAGAAACGAGAGAAACCGGCCAGTTACCTGCTGCATTATCCTTCTTTCCATTTTTCAGAAACATTGCCTTGTAACTTCTATAATCCAGTATCTTCTTTCCCACTACACTATTCTTCTGGCTCTTCCCTACTTCCCTCCTTCTCACTTCCATATTCCGCAGCTCCATTAACGACGACGCCGAGCTTTTACCGTCAGACAATTCGAACCAGACGAAGTCGACGAGTGGTTCTTCGCCCTCGGCGACCGCCGCAGCGGGCTCTGCGTCGACTTCTTCATCTCAAATCTCTCGGATTTCCTCTTCGCTGGCGGAGGAGTCTTCGCCATTTTAGTTTTGCAACCCAAATTTCCGCAAACGTTAGAGCAACGCGGAAGAATTTGGCGCCCAATTTCAATTTTTCGGCAGTAATCGGAGAATGCTAGGGTTTCTACTTTCGAATTTCCGGCGAGAAAGTGAAATATTTTCTCAGGAAGATTAAAGGGATGTGAAAGAAAAAGGAGAGGCGGCCCGGTTGGTTTTCTGCTTTTTTGATTTTTTTTGGTGACAGAATTAATCATTCATAGAGGTAGTGCGAGAGTGTGAGAGTGTGCCGTACAGACTGGCAGACTGCCTGTGCCAGTTGTCTAATTTAAATTTTTGTCTTTTGACCCTTTTGCCCCGTCGGATTTAACCAAACAAAATTGGGCTGAAAAGCAAAAGAGGACACGATTGCCTTTCAATGGTCAAAAGTCCAATTGGCACAATTGGCTTTCATCGGTTACGGTCTTGACAGTACCCGTATTCAAGCTCGTAAATCGTGTTCGTTCATCATATATTGTGCGGTTAGTTTTCGTCATGTACTATTTGTGTTCAATTTAAAATAATTTCTGACCGTACGATGTACAATGAACGAATAAGATACGTGGATTCCTGGAATCCTCACAAAGACGATCCTTATTCGCATGGAAGGGTTGGCTATTATTGTACAATTTTGTTCTAATAGAGTAAAATTATATATACGTTTCTCATCGCATGATATTTTGAATGTTAAATTGGGACGTTGTGTGATTGTGAACCATTTTGTTTAGGTTGTTTTTCTAATGCACAATAGGGTGTAATCGGGTTGTGTTTATCTCTTGTCGTGTTCATGTAACAACGCATATTGACCAACACGTGTATCAATTAAATGGTAATACTATTGTTTGTACCATACTTAGGGTCTCCGTATTTAGACCTCGTATAAATACTCGTGGGACTCAAATGTAATTATGTAATAAATTGAGGGGCAAATATGTAAAAAGGGGATGAGCCCTTATTCTATAAAAGTGCCTCCTCACCCTCACAAACCTCAAGCCCTCTCACCCTCACAAAGCTCATCTATCTCAAGCTCTCATGCTCACAAACAAAGAGCCCTCTCAAACTCTCTCTTTCTCTGAGGGACTCCCCCTCACCCTTGTAATCCATAAATACAGTCAGAGAAATACAATCAGTGTGGACATAGCCCAAACATTGGTGTGAACCACGATACATCTTGTGTTATTTACTTTCATGCAGATTCACGGTTGGATTTACGCTATTCCAAGACCTCCGGTTTTGTGCATCAACATTTGGCGCCGTCTGTGGGAATCGACACGAAAAACTATGTCGGTTCTCTTTCATTTTTTCACCTTCGCCGTGAATCTGCAAAGAAAACCCAGGAACCAAACAACCCAACACCCACACTCAGAGACACACCCATTCAATTTACAGAGAGAAAGAGAAAAACTCAAACACAATACTCTCTCTCAGATCCAAATCTCTCATTCTCTCACAGAAGCATGCACACTCTATTATTCTTCACGAGTGAACTGAACGTGCGAGCCCATAGAGACTGACACCTCCATTCGCGCTCTGTTTGCGAACTCAATTTGCTTCGATCTCTCCACCGCCGAGTCTTACCATCTTCCCTCTGCGGAGCTCCGCACCGACTTCCTCAAGCTCTCAAAAAAAATGCCTCTCAGGCTCGACATCAAGCGGAAATTTATGGTTTAGGGATCTACATCTATCTAAGCCATGGATCATTATGAGTCTGTGTTCAGGAACTGTGTACATCTTCAATTACCAGTCACAGAGCACGATAAAGTCTTTTGAGGTCTCTGATTTGCCAGTTCGGTTAGCAATGTGGGAGTGCCGGCGACGAAGCCGTACATCACGTTTCAAGGAGCCGGGAAATATGCGACGGTGATCGAATGGCATGACCGTGCCAGTGACCCTGGACCCAATGGCTAGCAGCTCAGAACTTACCAGAACCCCACCCGAGGCTGACGACGATTGAGGCTCTGGTGTGCCGGAAATTGGGCGACCCGACACAACCCATATCAGACGGAGATGCGGAGAAAGCGATCATTGTGGAGAAGAACCACCCAATTCTAGAATTGGGTTCTCCGACATCGGTAAGAGTGAAAGTGAAAGCTACGAGCTTGAACTACACCAATTATCTGCAGATATTGGGCAAGTACCAGGAGAAGCTGCCCCTCCCTTTCATACCAGGCTCCGACTACTTCGGGACCGTCGACGCCGTTAGACTTGCCGTATCCAAGTTCAAATTTGACGACCTTGTTTGCTCTGTTGCCGCCCTCGGCTCTTTCACCCAATTCATCGTCGCCGATCAGGAAGAGCTGTTTGGAGTGCCGGAAATGTGTGATTTGGTGGCTGCCGGTGCACTGCCTTTTGCATTTGGGACCTCGCACGTGGCACTTGTTCATAGGGCCAATTTATCCTCCAGTCAAGTATTGCTGGTTCTTGGTACAGCTGGAGGAGTTGGCCTTGCGGCCATACAGATTGGCAAGGTTGTGGGAGCCATTGTTATCGCCGTAGTTAGGGGAGCTGAAAAGGTGAAGTATTTGAAGCAATTGGGGGTTGATCATGTGGTGGACTTAAGCAGCGAAAATGTTATCCTAAGTGTGAAGGATTTCTTGAAATCCCGAAAGCTTAAAGGGGTTGATGTTTTGTATGATCCGATTGGAGGCAAGCTTACGAAAGAGGCCATGAAGGTTATGAGTTGGGGAGCCAACATCTTGGTCATAGGTTTTGCAAGTGGAGAGGTGATAGGAGCATATTTATGCAACTCAGTTAGCTCGTTTCTTGGCATTTACTTAGTTTAATTCTAGTTATTTTGGTACTTTAAGCTATTTTCGTGTGTTTGTAGGTTCAAACATCGTGTTGCTACGCCTTGTCCCCTTTATGCGTGCGTAGAAGAAGAGTCGGCATTAAAGATTTGATGAGAGAGAAAGCTCTGTAAATCTGCAATTGTAGAGAAGAAGAAGTGCGACGACGCTCTGTTGGCTAGGGTTAGAGTTAGGGATTTTAATGTTAGTTGATAGTTCCTTTAGAATTAGGGAATAAGTTATTTATTTATTTTATTTTATTTAATGTGAAATCAAAGGCCTAATCCTTTTTTAAAGAAAACTAAAAAGTAAAGCCCAACAATGAGTAAAACATATTAGGCTTAGAAAAAAATTTACAAAACCAAGAGTCCCTTAACTTTTGCGCACAAGTCATATTTTATGTAAATATATATATATATATTTACTTAAATAATCTATGTGTTATTTTATTTTGTAATTTATGTATCTTAGTACAATTATGTATTTTTTAAGTATAAATAGATACTTATTTATACGATTTTACGTAAATCCGCCTAATCCACCTAGGCCCCGCCTAGCTGCCTAGGCACTAGACCCTAGTCCGCCGCCCGACTAGAGCCTAGCGTTTTTTACAACATTGTCTTATTTGTAAGCATAAACTTGTAGCATGACATCATTGCATCCTATCTACTTATTATTACTTGATATGCATGGTGTTTATCAAATTACGGTACTAGTCTAAGCAAGGACCAACTTCACATGTATGTTCACATTGCACCATTCACATCCGCTTTGGAACTAGAGTTATGTGGCAAAGCTCTTGTGACTATAAGGATTTTTGAAAAAAGCTGACATAAATAAGGTTTCTTCATATGGTATAAGCCTCTACTTTTACTACACATTATTGTGCCCTAACATCACTTGTGTGATAAGGGTTTAACCCCACTCACATATGCATTCTAGTATTAGTTACTTTAAATTTTAAATTAGTAGCATTTTCGACATCACCATGACTTTATTGCCTTTGACATAAATCATGAAGATTTGCTCAAAAAACGTGAAAATTTAAAATGAAGCTTTAGTGAATGTCATATCAAACCATAATACATGTATTAATCAAGAATTAATGATTAAATATTATACAACTTGTCCATCTTTTGTGCATATTAGAGACACGAGTCATTATCCAACTAATCATATTTCTTTTGTTGACTCTTATCTCACTAATCTACAATTCAAATAAACTTCACTGATTCCAGAAGTATACTCACTTAACCTTAATGGACCATTTTTTTTCTACTATTAGGAGCATTTTTGCCATTGGGTTTTTACAACCTAGCAAGGTTTTAATGAGACACCTATCTCGGGTTGGTCATACCCTTATGAGCATTTTACTTGTGTCCCGAAGACCTTTAGTTTTGATTAAATGCAAACTTCTCACGTTTCTCCTTAGAACATGGGGTTTTCTCCCATAATGGGTTTTAAGATTTTACTAGAGCGAGGTTTTGTGAATTTTACCTTTTTATGCATTATTCCGTTGATCTAAGATTTGCATTCGCTCATTGTGCCGATGACTTCATCAATTGAACTTACTTCATCACTGAAGACCTGATGCGCCATTTACTTGAGTATTTACACACTCAAGGGGGTGTTGCAGTCCTAATTAGGTTAGGAATGTAATTGTAAATTCTAGTAAATCCTTATTGGATTCTACCATATCTTTTACATAGTATCCTATTTAAATTGTAATGTCTATTGGTAATGAATTTACCTTCTTACTTTTATAAATAAAGGCATAATAGGGTAAGAAATCACACCTCACACCTCATAAATCACAACCCCTTTCTCTCCATCTCTCTATAGTTCTCCAGTTAAATAGGTCTGCAACAAAATTTAATATATAAAATATTATAGCGGCTGACTGTAACATTTATATGTATTTAACACAATCATTATATGACAGTCGGGTATAATTAATGTAAATATAGGTATTTCATATATCATCATCCAACGGTCGATATGGTGATTCTATTAAATACATGTAAGTACAGTAGTCAAACCTAAATTATATAGTTGATATGTTAATATTATTATGCCAAGCGGATGAAATTTGCAAAGTCAAAGGACTTTGATCAAAAATTAAAAGCCAATAAAGCTTGAGTCAAAGACCATAATTGGCTAGGGACATATCCTAATTTTCTGTCAATTTTATCACATGATGTTGGTCTTGTTAAATTATGAGACTATCATGTAAGGCTAAATCTTTGACCTCTTCCGTTCACGAAGGGAAGGGAGAGGAAAATGAAACTTGACTAGCTTTTAGGTATAAGGATGAAAGTGGATTTTTTCCCAAAATTCTATGATTTCTTCCTTTCCTCATTTTTTTAGTGTGGTGTTATCCACATATGACTTTCTAATTCTCACATACATTAGGTTATGTTTTTTTTTCTTTTGATTTTCTTCAGTTTATTTAATCCGACAATTGAAAATTGAGAAGAGTGTGTGCAAGATAAAAAAATGTTTATAAATAGCACCACCATTTTTTCAGTAAACATGAATTTGACTAAGAGAAGAGATATAGTGCGGGATGCCATATGCTAAGTCTAAAGCCAAGCGAATAAACCTTTTGACATGTGGAAAGATGAATATTTTTGGTGTGGCGGAAATAAACGAAAAGACTACATTTGTTTGGTTAAAGCAGTTGATTTAGAGAGGTGTAGTTAAATGAGGATCTGATGAGATTTTAATAAACTTTAAAATCCGAGTATAGTTAATTAGAATTGGAAAGATTTTAATACGAATAACTTTCCAACCCAAAAATTTACCTTCATATAAACTCTCCGTGCCAACCGCACATCGACCTTGACGCATAGACCTTTCTCCTATCTAATGTCATGTAATGTACAATCGAACTAGGTGAATTGTTCAGCATATCTTATTAAACTAGACATTGATACCCGCGCGTTGTTACGGGACGAAAATTATACGGAACGTTGTTTAAAAAATATAAAAGATTGTGGCATAAAAGATTTAATATTATTTACATTGAGAACATTAGGAAAATTTTTACATACAAAAAAATTGATCAATAGTAGTACTTGTATACAAAAATTACGAAAGTTTGGGATATTTACATGCAAAAAAATATTAGGGAATATTGTTTCATTGCTAAAAGATGACAAAGATTGTTCACTGGAACACCAAAAGTCTCCTTGCAGTACTCTTCATTGCCAAGAAAGCAGCCTACGCAAAGAAAACAAAATACATGCAATGAATTTGCACATCAACAAATTTATATTGTAAAGGATATGAGGGCAAACAGGCCTTTTAAGGGAAGGGATTCCCATTTTTCAAAAAAAAAATGGGAACATCCTCTTAGCCGTTAGATTTAGCTTTAATGAAATTTTATAGTTGAGATTAGGCCACAGAATCTCAACCATAAAATTTTTTTAAAGCTAAATCTAACGGTCAAAAGGATGTTCCCATTTTTTTTTTTTTTTGAAAAATAGGGAAAAAAATAGGGATCCCTTCCCTTAAAGGCTTCATAAGGGCAGATATGAAATAATAACCCTATTGGTAGAATGAAACTCAAATACATGTAGAATGGACAATTTCATTTTTCCCTAAAATCTCACACAAAGGCACATCAATGGCAAACACATGAATATGTGATCAATGGCCAACACTTGAATATATGATCAATGACATAATATATAAGAAAAGACTAATAAATGAAAAAGAAAAACAACTGAAGTCAAAATAGCAATCTAATACATCATTTCGCATCGTCACAGAAAACAAATTTTGCATAAAAATAGATTAACAGAATACTCAACATAAAATCATAAAATTAGTATACATCTTTCACCAATTGGCTATAAATACAGATTTTTTCCAACAAAATAGAGCTAAACATTCAAAATTTTCTCCATTTTCTCATCAGCCAAACAAATATTAATACAACCCCCAAACTAATCACAATAGTATTGTATTTTGACCACAATAGTATCATAATCCATATGATAAGTTAAACCGATTATGCCAATTTTTTTTTTATCTATTTCTAAAAGTTATCACAATAGTATTTTATTTCACACGTTTATATCTGATATCGTATTTAACGATTAGATAAGACTAGCAATAGTACCTGCGGGATGCTGCGGGTTTTAAAACTGCATTTTTTAAAAACTACATTAAACATGCAGAGAGTTCTAAATACCTAGGATATACAAAACTATTTGTATTCATGTGGAAATCTATTTACAACTATATGTTCAACAATTAACATATATGTGTCTATATCGCAGTCATTGGTTTCTGGTGCGAAGTTCACGGATTTGCAGAACCAGCAGGGAAGAATTGCTGTACAAAGTTAAATCAATGATATACATTACTACAACTATTAAAATTAAAACAAAATTCAAGTTTTTGTATTGAAATTTAATTGGGTTTATGCGATAATTAATCGCTCAAACAAATAAAATTGATAAAATGAACTGATGATGTTACTTCAAATTGTCCAGAATTGCTAACGGAGGGGATGAGCTTTGCAATGTAAAGGGATACATCATTGTCATTGTTAATTAAGTATTTAGTAGCTTCTGTAGAAACTTCAATTACATCTTCATGTTCCATGTTGAAGGACTTCTTTTTGTGTTTAATCAGAAGCGTACAAACACATTGTTCTGAAATTACAAAACAACAATAAAATGAAGATATTACAGCTTTTGATAGTATAATATAAAAAATTGTCTTAAAGAAGATATTAGATGCTAATCTCAAAAGGGTATGCTCCACCACCTAAAATTTGCAATACTAAGTTTGAACAACGAAAAAAAAAATCTACCAAGAGAGTAAAATAGTAAAACAACTTAATTTCTTTAAAAAAAAATTGTGCAAAAATTTCATGAAATTTTGGTAAAGACGGAAAAGAAAAGGGTTAAGACAATCAAGACTAATGAAAATTATGATATTGTTTTAACATAAACTCAGGTTGATCTTGATCACCAGCATCAATAAAACGAATGACTTCAACTTGGGCAAGCAAACGATTAAATTACACGGTAGCCAAGTAACTTAGAATTTAACCATATCAAAAAAGCAATGATAATCAAACTAACCTCTTCTTTTCATATGAAGTAGAATCTGTTCTTTA